GCCCCAAACCCTAAACCTCTATAGCTCAATTTTTCGTGTCGGATCCTACCTTGCCGGAATTGCCTGAAAGCCCCAATAATCCAAACTCCATCTGAGCTGCTCAAATGGGTTGCCACGCTTCTTGCCTCGGACTTCGATCATGACCTGCAAAGACGCCAGGGTCGCATCAGTTCCAACTTGGATAGGGCATAAGCTGACAATGAGGCTCCAGCCACAAGAAGAGGAAGGATCGTGACCACCACGAAGCCTATAATGGTTCTCCTCTGCCTGCAGTGCACAGAAAGTCAGTATAAATATACTGTGATAATCACCGCAATAGACAAAACCTACAATAACTACTGAAATATACTATAACCGGCTGTAGCCATATACTACGCTTCTGGATAGAACTTCCGCTCCTGGGCAGGTAGCTCTCAGGAAGCCCTTCGAGACTCTCCTGACACCGTGGCCCATGACTTCTTAAAACATATAAGGAGCTTGGCATAATATGATATACTTGTATTACAGTGGTATTAGTTCATAGCGTAATATAGTATATGGCATGGTACAGTATACTATACTATGGCATCATCTTGTATAGTACAATATACTCCAACATTCCTGCCTTCTCAGGACCTCAACAGCTTCCCCATAGCGCAATCATCATGCACATGGTGCTGATATCATGCATGGGAGTTGCCCGAAAATTAGGGGCACCTTATTTTGGGGTGCCTGTAATAAGGATCCTACTAGTTAGGGTACTAGATTAGGGTCCACTATCTACGGAAACTCCCGTATCATCGTTATGTCGCGAAAGCAATTCTGGGTCCCCCGACGCTGTCCTCAGCCTTGCTTCGAATGACGGATCCGTGCTTCTGAGGAGTTTCCTGCAAAGGAGAAGATGCTATGGTATAGTATAGTGTAATACAGTATAGTACAGTATAATACAGTATAGTACAGTATAGTATAGTACAGTATGAGCATAGTTGTAGGAAAATATGATATCATCTCAAGTGAATGCAAATGAAGGGCCACCTGTCCGGCGGCAATGATATTTACAAACCATACGAGAGCGCGACTTAGGGTTCGTCTGGGGTGCGGAACTACTGGCGAAGGCACGGGGCACCATGGTGAGAACGGTAGAACGCATCCCTCGGATTAGAGGTACGAGCATGAGCAACTGAGAGAGGAATCACCGTATTTCCCATGCCCCTTGGAAAGTCAATAAACGCGTGTGCATGTCAAGCTACACGTAGCTCAGCAGCTACACACTGCTCGCTCATCCCAGACCAGAGCGATACAACGGAATCACGTGATAAGACCGGACGTGAGCACGTCGCACAGAAGAGGGGCCTTAATACAAGGCGGGAGCGCTAACTTTGAGGCACTATTTCCTCCTTTGGAGCCGTCTACCCAAAGAAGTTACAAGTATCACGTTGCAGGTGACAGCACGTACGAATACGTACGTTGTTCATAAACAAACGAAATCATTCGACCATACTAGAGCGACAAACCTAGATTTGGAAGGAGGCGCGAAAGTGTGACGGCGTATAGGCTGTACTCCTGTACGCGGCATCAGTGCACGTCACATGCCGTAGGATATTTATCATGCTACTGTAGATGTATGCGTGGACACACAAATATGTGTCTGCAGTAGCTTGCATACATGTGCAAAGACATACCGGTAAACGCATATCGTATACCATTGGGAAGATACAGTGGCAACAAATCATGAGCAGAAAATGATGTGTTTATGGTATCACATGTTTCGTATTCTAGATGAAATTAGACTAGACTAGAAAACAATACTACCTACATCATCTACACATCATAGCCACAGACTTTTCTTCTGGGATGATGCAGGAAAGCTGCTGACGACTTCTCAGCCATGCGTCTTGCGCCACCTTAAGCATGAGGGCGCTGGAGGTTGCGGTCGTTCAGCGTTTCGGGTCTGCGACGTTTCAAGCTGCTTTTGCCAACTTACAGCTCGTAGCGGCTTGGGGTCGCTGTGGCACGGGGCCCGGGCCCCTTCAGGCTGCTTTTCACCAGCTGCAAGTTCAGCCTGCTCGCGACCGCCAGAAAAAGTGCCCGTCCCGAGATATTTAACCCCAGACTGACATTTCACTCAGAGTGCATCATTCATCAAACCAGGCTCCACGCAGGAAACACCAATGCACGGGCATGAAGAATGCTCCTGACTGATTGCAGCACTGGCCTTTGGGCCACGCAGGTCGAGAGCTGCCAGCTGCATGTCTGCGCACGGGCTGGGAATCAGATGTGTGTATGTGTATGTACGTATGTGCGTGTATATATGCATATACACACGTGTGTAGATACATATGTACACATATGTATACATGCATATATTTCTGTATTTTATTTATGTGTATATATATATATATATACATGTGTGCGTGTTATATATCCCTCAAGCCTGAAAGATGAAAGCAGGTTTGACCGTCATGGCAAGACTACAGGAGATGAGATGCTTTGTCGGTATCTTGCCCGCGCTGGGCTACTGGGCCTCACCTAAGGACATGCAAAAGGTCAACTGACTACGGGAAAAACAAACTGTATTGTAATTGGAATCTAATATATAGCATAACAATACCTGTCACTGTAATATAAGATAAGGTATCGTAAGTATGGGCACTGCAGTATACGCGTAGGCATGTGCATAGATGTATCCTTGTACATGCACATGTGTTGAACATACATACATCATACGGCTGTATATTTAACATAAGTAATTAACATACATACATACATACATACATATATATATATATGCACATCTTATATGATATAAGCACATACTGTATATGAACCTACAAATACACGCATGCATAGACGACTGAGCAGCGCATCGAGGCTCTCTGAGCCGCCGCGGCCTAATCCGAAGTGATCGAAGATGTGCTTCAGCCCGGAATGCCCAAAGTTCGTCAAAGCCAGGTCCATGTGCTTCGGATGGCCTCACGGTTTAGGGTTTTGGGCTTGGGGTTTAGGGGTTCGATAACACCAGGTCGATGGGCTTCGGATGACCTCATAGGGTGGCATGCTAGCTAGAAAGGCATCGAGGGAGAGGAAGGGAGCCGGTTTATCAAGATGTATGCGTATGTCATGGTTCTATATGCAAAAATAACGATGTCAGTGTCTACCGACATTTATACAAACATTATACATGTACAAATACATACATGCATACTACATACATGTATTTACTTATCGAGTTTCGTGGATAACTGTTTTCTTACGTATTTCTATGACCTACACAGTATGCATACAAACAGACATATGTACATGTTCTTGACAAAAAGATGTAACTCCACAGACATACAAGTATGCATACACACATGTACATCCGTACACACAGCTGCATCCTACGCATCTGTGGATGTGGATGATCACCTCCGCCCACCAGATCTTGTTCGACATGTCTTTCCATGTAGTTTTGGACACTTTGACTGGTGTTCGGGAAACACACTGAGTATCGACACCGTGCTTCGCTGCTGTACGAAGATCCGTAGCCTTTTTGTGCTTGCCTATGTAATGTATGTTGGTACCACTGTTGCTGCGTGACCAAACCTCGGCCCTCCTACTGCACGGCTTGGATTGGATGGTGCAACCCGAATGCCCGCGCATATTGCAACCCTCAAGCTAAAAATTCATGACGCAGATGCACCCTCGGAGATCAACACGACGACGGTCGGGAGAGGCCTTACTCACGAGAACCTGAATCTGGTCAAACGAGCGTCTGAGTTTCGCCCCTACCCTCTCCCACCCTGGAGAGAGAGATTGAGGTTGTTTGGCGGTTGGGCTACTTGGAGGTTCATGGGTAGTTATAAGTAGGGTTATAAGTCCCCTAATATGAGTTAGACGTATAGTTGCGCCACTTATAACTAGGTACCCATGACCTCCAAGTAGATGCTCCTCGCGCCTTGATCTTCGGCGTCAGTCTGGGCCTTGAGACCTGAGCTGCAGGCTAAAATGCTAAAAGCTATGGACTGCTTCATGCACTCGCCAAGCAGAGTCTCCCCCGGATTCAGTAAGTGTGACACCGATGGTGATCTCCATGCCGCTGATGTTGCTGCTGTTTCGCTCGTTCTTCGGACGGCTGCCAAGTCCAACTTGCAGAGCATGCAAGCCGCAAGAACCTGCCCAGCAAGGCGGAGTTCAATTAAACCCGAAACCCGAAACCCTAGGGTTTCTCGCATCTGCGGCTCCTAGCTCCTCTGCTCTTCCCGCACTGTCGCCTGTCTCTGAGGAGAGGCAGGCATCGTCCTTCTCCAAGGCAGGGGAGGAGCCTCGAAAGCTTCGGCGTCCCCCAAAGTTCGCTCTGCGATTCTGCGAGGCCCTGGCGTCCGAGCGCCAGGAAGGCGCAAAAGCCCAGGCAGCGCAGAAGCCTGGCCGTTTTGGGGATTTTAACAACTACGTAAGAAGCATACCTCCTGGAAGACTGGGAGAGGATCGGGGATTTGAGGAGGTGCTTTGAACAAACTGATGCGGTGGACGCTTGAAGAAGATACACTGCGGGCAGGTTTGGCCCCAAGCAACCGCAGCTCAATGTTGCTACAGAGTCCTGTCAGTCTAACTGAATCGGATGATCTGCGGCTCATTTGCTGATTGGCTTGGTGGCACCTTGCTGTGTTGCCCGTCATGTTCTTGAAGTTCAGAATGTTCAAGGCATGATCATGTCCAGGACTTCTGTTTCGCCACAATGGCACAGGACTCTTTAAACAACGTGCAACCATGTGCAACTACCCCGGAAAATCTCTTCAGGCAAGCAGCATCCGGTGGTGTCTGAACGGGCCACTCCGCTTAATTCACGTATATATGGAGGCTGCAAGGAACCTGTGCGCCCTGAGGGTGTCGGGCTTGAGCACAAAGCCAAAACAGCTGCCGAGCCAGAATGAATAGAACCCTGCATGTTTAGCAACCAAGTGCGATCATCAGTGAGTCACAGTGATACCACACCATGACTTCTCCGGCAGCTTGCTGAGGCAATGCTCGCACAACCGGTCCTCTAGCCATTGCAGTTGCTTCTGGCTCACAGCACCGTTCAGAGGAACCCAACGAAGGTCCTGGGCATAATTACATCTGTAGACTGAAACCGCAGGAACTCATCCTCGTAGTGGTGCCAACATGGCTAATATAGGGGCCGGAATAATTAGAATACGGTTTTGGGGCCCATGATACTATAACTATAATAAGGAACCCCCAAAATAGTAGTGGTAATTCTTTAGGCCCCTATATTAATTGGAGCTGAGTCCGTAGCAGGCCCCGGCGCGATGCCGCGTGCGAAGTCCTTCGTCGACGCACAACCGATCAGGCCATTGCTGGGTTCTGGTTGAGGGATTTAATTCAAGGTATCATAATAAGGAAATCATATGATTTACTATAGATCCCTTTGAGCGCGCATGGCAGGTGCGAATGCAGCGCTTTGTTTCCACTGTCCATGGCTCTTGCTGCACACTATGACTACATGCGCCAAGCAGGTGCACCAGGACTGAGTCCTCTTTCGTGATGTCGTTTGGATTGTTTGCCTGAGCGAGATGCTCACACGTGTCGCAAGCATGCGACGGCAGCCCCGGCCGCCGGGAATCCAGCAAATGACTGGAAACTTCATACAGCAGGAGCGACTAGCGACCAACTTCCAAAAGTCTACAAGGGGGTTTCCGAAAATGGGGGACCCTGATATAGAAATAATAGGATCCTTGTCATAAGGACCCCAAAATAAGGTACACTTCATTTTCGGCAACCCCCACAAAGCTCTCCACGGGGGAAATAGGCCGAGGCAGCTTCACCGAGCCCGCAACTTGGCACAGCTCCACGGCATATGAGTCCAACACCTGTGCAGGGCTGTGGCGATGGCCAAATCAACAAAGCAAGAAACACAGTTGTGCACATCTTCATATCTCTACATACCTATCTGTGGAGCATTCTATCTAACTATCTACCTATCTATCTATCCATCTGCGTTGTGCCTGTACGTGAGAGGGCTAATTTGCTGCTCCATCAAGTCTTGCACGTCTGCATGTGCGTAACATGGGTGTGCAACTGGGGATTTGGATCAGTGCTGGTGTTCTCAAACGTCGCGCGAACGACCGAATCAATCCGGAGCTTGGAGCCTGAAGTGTGATCAACGGTTGGTGATCATGGAGCTCAGGAGTATGAAGGATGGACCCTTTCTGTGAGCTCTGGCGGAAGTACCCGCAGGATAATCGTAAGAGTCGTCGTCGTCACAGTGGATGCTCTGACTTCGAAGTTGCATTCTGCAGCGACCGAAAACCAAAGAACATGGTCGAAGGCTTTGATTCTCGAAGAGCACGGGCAGTTTCTTGGGCCCTTACCACGGGGTCCCTGCAGCAAGTATCCCGCTAGCTTAGTGTAGTAGTGCCCCTAGAACTATGACCTAAACTCCCGCATGCCAAGGATGGTCTGCAAGGCTTCTCCCAGGAGCACCGCATCGGCATCAATGCCCGGTCGAGCGCCGCCGCCACTCATGATACCTTGGTGCGGGCTTAGTGTTTACTAGGGTTCAGGGAGTCGTAGGGGTGTGCGACTGAAACGGTCAGTGGGTCAACACTCCATGACTGAACCCAGAAACAATTTCGAAACTCAGATCGCAAGCAACGGCTCCACATTCGTCAGACTTCGAGAGTGAATGCGGCACTGAACGAGGCATGTGCTGATCTCGTATGGATCCAACCTGGGCAGAAGTTCTGTCTCGACGGCAAGCCGTAAAATTCGACATCGCAGTCATGGCTCAAGGCTTTGTCTGAGTGACTCGCACACAGACTCGCCACCCATGGCTTGGGCAGAAGCCTGGCATCTCATGAAAGGTGCTGTTAAACTCAGAGCTTGCAGCTACGACGGTATGACCTTCTCATGGGATCCTCTGCGAAACATCAACCCATCCACACGTGCATTCTGTCACCGAGCCATCTGCTGTAATAGGAACTTGTGCATGAAGGCGCCTGCTCCAAAAATGCACGACTACCCAGAGGCTTGGCTCAACTTCAATCAGCGTGGCCTCCGCGTCCAGCACTGGCGGTGCGGATATCCTAGCACCCAGAGACTCCAACAGCCCTTAATTGGGGAATACACCTTGAATTGTAATAGGAACCCTGATCAGAATTAAAGAACATGCATATTCCTTAATTCAGGTGTTTTGGAGTCTCTGGGGCACCAGGTACATTCGCCGTGGTCTATCCGATCAAACAGTGCAGTCCTGTAGGGTTCCGAGAGCTCGGGGAGAGAAATCCCCTCCTCCATCTCTCTTCGTGGAAAATTGTACAGCTCGTGGTTGCCTTAAGCTCAGGGAAGTTTTGCCAAGTTTTACAAACCCTTTCAAGATCAGAAGAAGATGCGGACGAGCCCCGAACCTACGAGATGAAGCGTGGGTGGGCCGCCTTCCAGAGGGAGCAGTAAGTCCTCATCATATGATAGGAATCACAACTATTGTTGCTATCATTCTTATTATTCTTATCTTTTAAAGTAATTCTTACGATCATTCTTTGTAGTATCATCATTGAAACTATTATTGCGAGGGCGCGAGGAAACTTTAAACTTAGAGGCAGGCTCAAGCTCAGATCGGAAGGCCGCCTCCGAGGGGGCTGGCCGAACAGTTTATACTTATATACCCTTTGTTGCATAGCACAATAACGGTGATGTGACAGATAAGTAGAAAATAACGGGTATGTAACAGATAAGTAGATTTCATATGACATGGTACAGCATTTTGTACGTTTCTATTTCACTTTTGCGGATGTCTTAATTTACTATATCATATTAGTGTGTATGATAAACCATTAGATTGTATATCGCTGTGGTATACAAATTATGTACTTTATAGTATACTATGCTTTGCTATGTTATGCTAAATAATGAAACAGTACATATGATACCATTATGCTATACCAGGCCGACATATGACATTCCGCATCATCTTATACTTCGCTCCATTATGTCAGATTACAATATGGTAACTCATGCTAGTAAACTGTAGTATGTTCTATTCTAGTAACTTCTAAAATGCTATACTGTATGATATGAGATACCATGATACCTCTGTGGTGCTTCGAACCTGTTATCGCCTGGGCCGAAACCATCCGACTGCTTTCTCTCAAAGCTGACCCCGACACCACAACTCCTCCTCCCCTGGCATGTCCTGCAGGGCTTTGTGGCCATGGCCTGCGACGATTGAATTCACGCAAAGTCTCTATCCTTCTTGGCAAGCCACTCTCGGCAATAGATTCGTTCTGATGTAGTGCGTCCTCTAGGGGGCACAGCTGCATCCCAGGCGTAGTCATGCATGCCTGCAGTAGCCCGGTTGCAGCCGTCGACAAAATCGCCAAGCTGAGCGATGAAATCGACCTTCGGACATCTCGGGTGGATCCTCGACCCACTGCGCTAGCACCCGCGCTTGCGGTCACAGTCTTTCTGCTCCGAGACTCTAGAGTTCTTAGGCGCAAAGTCACTACGTAGAAGCATTCACTGCCTCAGTGCTGTACATATTTCCCTGAGACTCCAATTTATAGTACGATCCGGAAATATGACTTAAGGTATGCTCCCTTTACTAAGGCATATTGGAGTCTCTGGGTTCTGGCGATCGCATGAGCCTTCACTCAACAGGGTAGGTGCCCTATCAACTCAGGAGACAACGGCAGGATGACGAAGAAAATGTCTGATGCATGTGTTGCTATTGTCATCCATACTCATTTAGGAGCATGTTCATACACTGTTAGTACGATTATTGAACTATCGTGATACACTCTAATATATTCTGATCAAGAAAGTGATACACTCTGATATATTCTGATCAAGACATAGTACATGATGATCATAATAAACCCTAAACCCTTAACCAATAGTACCTTATGAACACAATGAACCCTAAATCCTAATAGTACATTATGATCACAATGACCCATTTCGAAAAGCCGTTGCTCTGCCAACAAGTCAGGCCTATGGCCAGCTGAGGCACGGACAAAACCTGGTTTCGACAACGCGGGACTGTCAGAGGAGATCGAGGACCAACCAGAATTACTGGCTTCCTGTTAAGGGACTTAATTTAAGCTACCATAACTGGGATTTATACTAAACTACCATCATAGGGATCTAGGCTAAATAACATGGTTTCTTGATTGTGGCAACAAGAGTTAGGCTCAAGATTTCATGGTTTCGGAGCTTCCAGTCCCTCCAGCCATAGAGCTTCAGGGCTTAGGTTAGGGCGTTTAGGCTTAAAGCGATCTTTCGTTTGGATCTCCAACAGCCGCAATTGCCGCATCTGTGGCCACATCAGCAGCACAACAACCGCAAATTGAGCGGTAAAGTCGCTGTGCCAAGTGGCGGCCACAGCAAGACTGTGTGCAACTCGAAGCATCTTACCAGCAAGATCACTCCATGACGCACGGACAGCCCGTAAACGACCAATCACACTACTTCCGAAGATGTTCGTAGTCCTGTAGAGTCTTCTCTTGTGACCACTCCGTGGAACTCCCGCACTACTCGGACTGACCGTGTGTCCACTGCACACAGTGAAAATCATCGATCAAAGTGGTATGACTGTAACTAGACTAGACAGTACTACAGCCCGGTAACAAGTGATAGCTGGCTAAGCTTGTCCTGTCAATCTTGTGTCAACTACTCCGTAGGTAATGTGCTACATACAACGAGGAAAAAGGCTCCATTTGTGTTCTTCATTGAATTTGCCTGCGTGCGCCAAGGACACAAAACACCCTGCCGTTGCGAACAACATCCGTGTCATAGCGTCATCTAGAAGAAACGGCATGACGCAGCTACAGGCTCTTGCAGCTACTTCGCAGCACGGCATCTGCAGTACACCTCTGTTGACCCACGAAACTCACATCATTGTTGAGGGCTCAGCGACGTGCCCTAGTTAAGGATCTTAAAAGCATCGTCGGCGAGGTGTTTGACACTCTTGGAGTGAGCTTGTCAAAACTATCAACTCCTCTTGCGCAAGCTAGCACGACTGCAGCCGTGCTGGCTTTCTCGCATCGAACTGCCAATGTGGCAGAAGAGGAGCTTCCATTTGACTTGCACTGTTCAGAACGATTCTGTCAGCACAGGCTTTAACAACAAACTTGCCTCTGCAAGCCTGCACCGGTGATGACACTGTACAAGAAACACAAGCTGTAACACGATTTCTCTCCCGTGCTGATAGAATCGCAGGACAAGGCATCACGACACATCCATCTTCGTGGGCTCTCGCTGGTCCTGCCGCATTGGCTTCTCGCTCTTTTCTAACTCTTTTGCTCGCCTCCGCCCTTAAGATTGTAAACTGGGAAATGCGAAAACCTTGGCAGGGATGAAAAAGCACTTCAATTTCCAGGGCATGGGTCACACTTGCTCAGATTTTTCGGGAAGTTGGGGGGATTGTTGCCACCCGTCGAGGCTTCTGCAAAGGGGGTCCCCAACTCCGGTCCACACGTGCAAGCAGAAGCTGAAGATTGCTGTCGGGGACGGCGTGCTGGGGACAGGGGGCGGCTGGCCGAGCCGCGATCATCACAGACACACATGCACAGACAGGTGTGGGTGTGTGCGTGTGCCGCAGGTTTGGCGGAAGCCTTCAGAACTTGAGCCCTGCAAGCAATGGGTCTCCAAGGTTTAGCAGGTCTGGTACTGAGTCCTGTATAGTGGCATAGCATGTCGTGCAACGGTGAAAAGCTGGAGGCTACCTGTGCTGCGCGCAGACTTGCGAATTGCCTGAATCTGAATCACGGAAAGGGTGGATTCGACGTATGATTGCATCAGGCCGTCGGCGATCTGTGCCGAAAATGAATTTAAAACTTTAGTGCTCCTACTATCGTCCGGGCCGCAACTTCCCTGCAGAACACTCAAGTGTGAATGTTCGTGCTGCATGAATGTCCGAGGGACGAACTATGTGGACGAAGCCATTGCAGCATCTGAGTTCTTCTCGGGCATTCAAGCAGTCGACATCGAAACACGGGTCATTCGACAAGCTTCACTGTGGACATTGATGTGTGTATGTGTGTATACACATACATATATGCACATGTACGTGTATGATTTGTTCAGGTTCATATTCATTCATATTCAATATAGAGAACTTAATATATTTTGCGAACCACAACCAAAATACTAATAACGGAACCTCTGACATACTATTGCTTGTCGCAGATGCCAGTTGATCTGCCGGCAGTCCTCGACGATAACCTCTGTCAAGTTTACCATTCGGCCCTCGTAGAGAGAGGACAACATGGCACCTGCGCTTTTGACTTCCCAAATCATGATCAACTACAGCCTCATCCCTGAATGCGAGGTGATGCATCCCAAAACACAAAACAACTATTAACCATATACCATATCGCGTATACTTTATTGCTATGTCTTAAGCTTGATAAACACAACAGACACGGACTTTCCAGGGCACTTAGCTGGCCGTTGTTCAGGAAGAGCTGGACCACGAGTCCGGGTTGCGCAAATGGGGGCAAGATGACTTGAAGATAGCGTCCGAAGCACTGGACCGGAAAAGGCTTTGACACCTTCGGCGAGAACACGACCGAATTTTAGTCAGAAGCTGAATGAGACTGAATATGCTCACGAAACGTTCAGTCTGCTTGATCTGAGCTGCATCCACACCAGCCGGAAGCATGAATGCTTGCTGCTGCATTGTGGAAAGCAAGTTTGCCAAGACCAGCGAATCTGTCCCGAATAAGTTCCTCAGAGCTGCTTGGAGGTTCATGGGTAGTTAGAAGTGGGGTGATAAGTAGGTAACTATACTTATAACTCATATTAGGGGACTTAAAACCCTACTTATAACTACCCATAAACCTCCAAGTGAGAGAATCGGGATCTCCAGGCACTGAGTGGGCAGGGCTACTCTGTCAGCAGCGGAAGAAGCGCTGCCATGCTGGCTCACTTGCAAATCCCGAACCACAGAAACCCTCTACTGAGGAGCCCTTCTAGATTCCTTTCCGAACTCTTAAGACGGAAGATGGTTTTTGAATTCCTTTCCGAACTCTTAGAACGGAAGAAGAGAACAGCAGCCACTTTTAACCTTTCGGCTAGATGCAGCTGCTGGCCCCAGAAGCGGCGGGGGACAAATAACTCTCGTGCTGGATCTCCACCATCGAACTGGTAGATGTTCGATGAAAGCCTCAGAGTAGCTACAGTATGATAAAAGTATATATATATATACACACACACATGTAGGTATGTATCATGTATCGGCTCAGCTAAGAGTCTTGGGTGTCCAGTACATACGTACATATATGTATCTGAATATACATGTACATATACATACCATGTGTCAATACACTTCAGCGTCATAAACTTGTCTCAATCAGGGTGCTCACTGCAAACCTATGGTGGTCAATCCTGCAAACTCTGCCGAGCATCTGTGCGAAGGAATCCTGAGCTGTCCAACTCATCGCTACTGCCACGCAGAAACTGCTACACGGGGGTTTCCGAAAATAGGGGACCCTAATACAGTACCCGAAATAGTGGGACCCTCACTATAAGGACCCCCAAATAGGGTACCCCTATTTTCGGAAACTCCCTGACACGCCAGTCAGGTGAAGGCTGGAAAAAGCCGCTCTCCTACCGAGCACCTGAGCACCATAGAGCACCAAAAGCAGATCAAGCTTCGTATGTTTTCAATTCCAGTCCGTCCGCGCCATCCCTGGACCAAAATTTCACTGCAGCGGCCTCAGCTTGCAAATGGGTGAGAAAGTCGGAGAGTTCGTGGATCTAAGCATCGTGGCCAGCTAAACGGACAAAAACTGAACTGTCAGCTTGAGGTATAGACGTTCTTTTGGTGTTCTATAAGGATTCCTATAGGGTTCCTGTAAGGGCTTCTGTATCTCAGCTTGAAGGCAATAGCCTCACAGCATCGTCCTCCTGAGAGCGCCAAGGGATGGCGTCCGGGTGCAGGCACCTGACGGAACTCCTCCTCTGTGAAGCCTCAGCTTCAGACACGGTTTAGCGCCAGTTTAGGGTTTGGGGACTTAGGGGTTTAGGGTTTTGGATTTAGGCGCCTCTACCCCAAGAAGAAAGGAGTCTTTCAGGAAGTGTAGGAATGTGGCCGCAGGCCCTCTCGTCTGCCAGCTTCAGCCGGTCCTCGTTAATGCCAACAAGGGGCTGAACACGACCACGCCCTCACCTTGACACCGTTTCTACTTTGGACGAGTTTGTGGGGGAGCTCTTCATGTCTATGTCCCTGTCAAGACAGGCAAGACGAAGACGCACGCAACTCAAGGTGTCGAGGTACCTTCCGGCGCATTCCTCAGACATCACAGCAAGCACCCCAGCTGAAAGACAGCGTCTTGAAGAGCACCGGTAACATGGAAATCAGGGACGCATCCAAGGATCACCACAATCGGACCACGCTCATTCTGCAACTCCACAAGGATGAGCAAGTAGATCTCCTGCTGGCAGAGGCTCTCCAAACCGACGCTCTTGGGCTCAATGCGAACAACCGTGTGCCATAGATTCCCAAGCCTAAACCCCAAACCCAGACCCCGACATGGATTCCGACTTCATCTCCTTTCCTTTCCCCTTGGCTGCTGCATACACACCCGAAGCCGCCCGCAAGGCTACTTTACCTCTACATTTGATATTATTATTATTGTTGTGATATATGTATTTGTTATACTTGTTGTATATTCTAAATTATGCAATATACATACTTAATTATTACATATATATATATATATGTATATGTATATGTATGTGTATATATATATATATATCATATACCGTACTTCACGCCAGGTCGATAGTGGACCACGAGGTGGCTCTCCTGTGCATCTGGGAACGCCTCCTTCAGGGTTTGCCGCAGCCGCTGAAGTTGGCCTTCCAGCGATGGGCCGTGATGCAATTTGCACCTTCCTAGCAAACGGCAGGCTGAACATACTACTACCACCCCACAATGTGAGCACTCATTGCCAAGAGGCGGAGTTCGCGTGTAGAGTTTATGATCCGCACGAACACCCGTGGGACTTTCGTCGGCACTTCTCCCAGTCCGAGGAAACGGCGAACTCGACGAGTCATGTCCTCCACTGTCAGTGGCGCCTCCAAGTTGTGGTGCCAGAAACTTCCACCCCATCTCGTCCCTCCGAAAACCACATGCTGGTCCACCATCTGGTATGTCGAGTATGTCATGAAGTCTTCGAACTTCATGTCTATGCAATGGAGGACGCCCTCCAAAGAGCTGCGTGTCCAGTCAAAAGGGTACGAGTTCTTTCGAAGTCCCATAAGCTGGAGTGCATAAGATGGTGCACAGTAGCAGCCAAGACTGATAAATTCGCAGCGGTTCATGAAATCCGTGGCGCGTGGTCCACACACGTTTAGACTTGACCGGCGCTCTTCGGGTGTCATTTCGGGAATGAAGCTGTAGCCTTTCTGACTGCTGGGATCCTCGGCTGTTGTACACTGCAAGTATAACGAAATAATAGTCATCATGCGACTATGAATATAAGGATTAAACACAAGAATAAGAACGCTAAAAACACAAAAAACACAATAAAGTTAGTAACAGTACTACTGACAGAAATAGTAAGAAGAATAACAAACACCCATATCGAATTATAATACCAATAGAAAAATTTGTAATCGTAATAAATAACCAATAACAGCAATGCAAAAATTAGACTAGGAGAAATAACACTGATGGTAATGAAAACAACAATAATGGCTAATACTAGCAATAATAAGGTGTACCGAGGGCTTTGGCTACGATTACGCTGCGGCCGGGAGGCTTCGAGGTGAGCATCCCATGGTTGGTTGGCTACCTGATGGGCCTGTGATGTGCCGGAGGCGGCCTGAGCAGCCTGTATCGTGGCACAGGCCTGGCAGAGATATCACCGCTTTTTTGCCATTGTCGTGCAATTCACATGACTTCTGCTACGATATCACCATTTCGAGTTTGGACGCCGCTTCCTGCGCTTGGACGCTGCCATGGTCGACCACGGAGGCAACAGCTGCCTCTGCTGCAGCAGCGACTGCAACGACCTGCAGCACGGGTCAAGCGGGCGATGCCAACATGTTGAGGGCTTGCCCGATGCTAGCTTCAAGCCTGGCATTGCACGTCCAACTACTTGCCAAGATGCTGCAGCTCCAGCTGCTACAGATGCTGTTGCTGCCAAAGGGGTGGTGTTGTCCTGGCTAGGAACACGGGCGAAAATTGCGAATTCCTGCATGGTTGTCGTTGGTATTCTGGCCAAGTGGCTGTCACTCCAGCTGCTACTGAAGCGGTTGCTGCCAATGCCTCTGGAATCTCTGTAGATGCCGCCGCCATGAAAGTTGAGATCTTGATTCAGTTGCGTCTTGAGCCATCCAGCCACGAAAGCACAGCGAGTCCAAGATCATAAGAAGTAGGTCGATGACACAATACACGGCCGATCTTTCCATACAGACGCTACTCGGAGGTTCATGGGCAGTTATAAGTGGGGTTTTATAAGGTAACTATATTTATAACTCGAATTATGGGACTTATAACCCCACTTACTACACTCATCCATGAGCCTCCAAGTAGATCTTCTGAAACCGACTTCAAGGCCAAGCATCATCGAGCCTCTTCTTCGCGAAACCACCTGGGCTGGCACACGACTGCACGCGCGATAGGCTCGGAGGACGGATGTAAGGACTGCACTGCACAGCTCCTTCCCAGAGTCTCTTCGAAGTACGGTAGCGCCTGCATGGCAAAATGACCGGTGCAGCGCTGACAAGAGCCGGACTCCTGTGGTGCGGGAATTGCCCCTCAGTATCATAATAAGGACCCCAAAATCAGGTACCCCTCATTGTCCGAAACTCCCGTCTCCTGCGCTCTAAACCCTAAACCGAAGAGGCTCCCGCCTGAGACGTGACCCTGAAAAGTTTAGAGCATCATCACGGTCAGCATACCTCCAGCTCCACAGGGGCAGTTTCGACAAACAGGCTCAGGAAGTCAAGATAGTGGCCTGAATATTTAGAATAGGGTTTTGGCGCCCATTATACCCCAAAATAGTATATTGGTAATTATTTAGGCCCTATTAGTACACCAGAAGCAAGGTCCCGGGCTGCACATCTGCAATGATTCCAAAGCTGAAAGCTGGCGGAACCTGGCACATGCAGCGGAGTCACACGCTGCTGTTCCCTGCTTTCCTTACTGCTGCCATCCTTGGTTTTGGCAAGCTCAAACGGAAGTTTCCGAAAACGGGGGACCCCAATATAGTACCCTAAATACTAGGATGCTTATTACAAGGACCCCCAAACAAGGTACCCCTAATTTTCGCAAACTCCCATATCTCTGGCCGGCTGGTGTCAGATCTCTAAGTCGCATGAAGGAAGTGCAATCAATAACCGAACAAGACTGCTAGGGGCACATGCAAGCGAAACTCGATGAAAATGACAACCCCCTTCGAAGTTCTAGGACTTTCACCGCAAAGCGTGAATCCCAGGCAGAATTGTTAACGCCTAAAGGCCCCAAATCCGAAACCTTATACCCGAAATCAAGCACCCCCAGCCGACTCCCTATCTCGGGCTTGCTGCCTTCGCCGAACTGAATCTGCAGCTGGCAGAGCTCGACGACTTCCGGCTCTGCCTGGATTTAAGGCTTTCAGGGGTTAGGGGTTTAGGGTTCAGGCGTTTAGGTTTAGGGTGTAGGCTTTCGGGGGCCATGCGGGATTAAGGCTGTTTAAGGTTCGGTGGGGTTTGGGGTTCATCAGGGTTTGAGGCTGCTTGAGGTTCAATTGTTTAATGTTTAAGGTTCAATAGGGTTTAGGGTTCGGAGGTTAGGGTTCACTGGCATTCAAGGCTGCTTATATACGGTTCACTAAGGTTTTGGGTTCAGGGTTCAGAAAGGCTTAGGGTCGAGGGTAAATTGCGGTTTAAGATCAATGGGGTTTAGGGCTTCGGGTTCATTAGGGTTCAAGTCTGTTTGTTTAAGGTTCAACAACTTTTTTGAATTAGGGTTCATTGAGGTTTAATGCTGCTTATGGTTCAACAGGGTTAAAGGTTTAGGATTCCCGGCGGTTTAAGGCTGTTTAAGGTTCAATAGGGTTTAGAACGGGTTAAGGCTGCTTGGGGTTCGATAGGGCTTAGGGTTAATTAGGGTTTAAGGCTGTTTTAGGTCCAACAGGGTTCAGAGTTTAGGGCTCATTTGTTTAAGGCTGCGTAAAGTTCAACAAGGGTTTTGGTTTAGGGTTCATTGGGGTTGAAGGCTTTTTCAGGTTCAGTAGGGTTTAGGGTATTGGGGCTCATTAGAGTTTAAAGGATGTAGAGGGTTCAATAGGGCGTAGGCTTCCTTAGGACTTAGTGTTGAGGGTTTGGGCTTCCGGCTAAGTTCGCACAGATGCAAGGGTTTTGGGTTCAACATCCATCTTGCCAGATATCTACAAAACGGGGACAAGCTTGGCTCCCAGCCGCACTCCAAGCAAGGAGAGACTGGCAAGGCCAAGACCGGTAAGACCTGCTGATGATATTGGGTTTGAGGGTTTAGGGTTTAGGGTTTAGGGTTTGAGGGTTTACGGCTTACCAGGGCTTCAGGTTGCTTGCTTCATGGACTCGCCATGAGGAATCAGTGTGTCTTCACTTACCGTGGGCATCCTGGAAACCAAGAGAGATACTTCTCACGTTCGAACCAACATGATCAGCAACAGCAGGACGCGGAACAAGAGCATTTTCCAATTAACAAGCATGAGAAACAGCAGAACGTAATGCTGCAAAGAAATCCCAAGCTTTCCCAGATTCTGCTGCCGGTCTGTCCTGTACATCTACTGACATACTACACAACTCCAGACAAAGAAATACCAAACCAAAAGGCGACTGCAACCATCTTTGACTCGAGCGCAAAGTGAGGTGACTCATTTGTATTCGTGGAGGGCGGCTCGTAGTGAATTCCTATGTCCGAGCCCGATGGGACGAAAACACGGCTCCGAGGGCTACCCTTGGCAAGCCAGTGCTTTTCGCCTTCAAACTTCCTGCAGACCCGGGCTTTCTTTATGAATCGGCCAACCCGCGAAGACTTGAACTTGATGCGTGAAGCAGGTGCATGAACCTCTCGGAGCCATCCCTGTCCCGGCCTTTTCGCGACATCAGCGTGCGATCGCGAGCTGAAAATGCTGCTCCTCCTTCCACCAGGCAATTTCAGACAGTAGGGGATCCTAACAAAGATCCAAAATGATCAATCCTTGGTTGCCTTAGTACAAGGAGTCGCGGCAAAGTACCTAACGTCAAGTTAAACCCCAAAAGCAACCTGGGCACTGTGAACTGAGGTGTCCTGCTAAACACGGGACCGGAGCATGGCATGCCACAGCCGGAGTCAGCTGCATTTTGTAGTACGCGTATATCATGCTTAGGGGTCGGGGTTTAGAACTTTAGTGCTTAAAAGCTGAAAGGACGTTCGTGAAAGTCTGGGCATGGGGTAAGTCAGTAGAAAGGCTTTGAGGATGAGGCATGATATGAAGGGGAGTAAAAGACTCAGCAGCGCGGCATGCTGCCGCCGCTGCTCGAAGCCAACACGGCCAAACGATGTGGCAGAAAAAACCAACAAATTACGAGCTCCGATCTTCGGAGTTGGCTAGCGATGCTTACGGCAAAAGAACTTGCAACAGCTCTCGAAAAGCTGCAGAAGCGAGTAGCATTGCAAAGCCGCGAGTCTTACGGAACCACGCACTCCTCCACGCCCTGTTTCCGCGGCTCTCTTTAGCCCGGGTCCTTCTGCCCAACAAATGCAACACCGCATGCTGCCAGAAAGTGAGCACTTGCGACGTGGTTTCTGCCTGAAATGCCCTCATGGCCTTGCTTCGCAGCTGCAACTCTCCGTTGCTTGCTGAGTGAAGCTGAAGCAACAGATCCGGAAAGCTGGCGAAGTAAGCCATGTGCGGCAAACGCGCAATGTCCGAATAGGAGGCCCAGTAATGGCACCGCGCAGGGTCGATGTGCCTCAGACCCCTTGTCGCGCAGAAGGGCGGCGGATGGGGCCATGTTTCAGAGGCATTCTGTGCAATCGAAGGCTCCATGACGGCAGGATCAGACACGGTCCAGCTGAAGGCCCACATAAAGAAGTCAGAAGGCAAGTACAATGGAACGCCCATACTGTACAGCTCCAGCAACTTGATGAAGTGTACATCGTATGGGAAAACAACTGCTGCTCGATGCTCAGCCAGCCGTTTGTACCGGTCTTTCCGGCCACTTTTCCAGGCTGGTACTTCCTCAAATCCCACCACTTGCAGCGTTCGAGTCAGCGCGTTCAGAGCATTGAACTCCTTGAGCAGCGGCAGGAAGAAAGGTCGGTGCAACTGCTGCTGCACCACGAGGATCCGGGACAGGTTCTCCTCCGAGGCCCTCCACTTCCATCGCGCTGTTTGGATGGCCAGATATCTTGCCACTGGCAGCGTCAACCCAGTTTGCCAACGCACCTGTCTTCACTTCTGGGGAGAGAGAGACAGAGAGAGAGAGAGAGAGAGAGAGAGAGAGAGAGAGAAAAAAAAAAAGGGGGCCACTAACCGACAGCTAAGCCGGCGACCTGCAGTTGAAGGAATGCAGTGTCGCCTGAAGCAAGCGTATCTTAGACAGGGAATGTTCGCAGCTGCAGGTACCGGCTGGGGTCCGAACACACGAAAACATTCTTTGGGTCCTGTGCCTACAGGCATTGCTCAACTGGTGCTTGATCCATCGTCATGCAGAGCCACGGACAGCCGCGAAGCACTGAGTTGAGCACAAGCTGACGAAAGTCCCTCAGCCTGTCGTACGGGGAGGTGCTAGAGTGGCGATCTCCTGTGCCTCTCCAATTAAGAACAGCACAGCATAGCTCAGGACGCAGCCACAATGTCCTGAGGTGCGGCTGCACGAACAGGAAGATGGGCTGATCCTGCATCTGCCAATCTGAGAATCTGTCACATGCTCCCCGAGCTGAATCACACAGGCTTCCATTCGGAGATGCGCAGCGATCAAGCTTTGCAGTCTTTCTGGCTTTCAGTTGGGTAAGAAGCGGGTACTGGTCGGTAATGGCATCAGCAATCATGTGTGGTAGCTGATGGGTGGCACTTGGGGAGCAAGTCTGCATGCACAGAGTCTGAGTCAAAAGGTAAGACTACTGGGCCCTTGCCCCCGGTCCATCACGCCGAGGATCGGCTTCCGGAAATGCTGGTATAGCTTGCACCAGTAAATTGGGATGGAACCTGACTCACGCGGCAGCGAAACTTGCATCAAAGACTTTCACACTGGCATTCGCTTACTGTGCCACGCGATCGCTCTAGGAAGCTGACACATGAAGGCATCCACCGTCCGCAACGAAGTTCGGAACCTAAGGCTGAA